ATTTCTAATTAGACTAATACCACTCATTATTCAGATACTCCTCCTAAAATTTGTATAATTCCTTCCACTGCGATAGATGCATCAGTTGGTATTAAAGGTAGCTGCGTTTCTTGCAATGAAAAAGATGAAGCCTCAGGTGAAAGCAACTTGGCATAATTACGATCTATAACGTTGTTATTATGTCGATGGTGGTTTACGTTCATGGCATCATTACTCACTATATACACTTGACCAGGTTTAAGTAGGTTAGTTGCTTCAGTAACTTGACTTGTAGATTCTCCCCCTATCACAGCTACGCTATTCTTATCATTTAAAGATACTGCTCCCAAAAAAGCGTTGAATAAACTAGGAGAATCTGAGCTAAAATTATCAAATATAATTTTTGTGCCATCTAATTGGTTTTTAACGGCTGTTAAAAAACTCTCGCTAACTTGATCTAGAATTGCTCCTTGTTTATGTACGGGTAATCTCTCACCAGTGATAGGATCATGTTGTCCAGTTCTTGGCCCGTTAGTAACTAACATTATCATATCTTGAGTTTTCGCTATACTGCCTAACTGCTTTCCTAATTGTGCTGCCGATTCTTTAGGGTAATAGTTCATATGTCCAGATTTGTCTGGTGCATCTCCGGGTAATGACACTAACAAAATTTTAGAGTTCTCAATGATTTTTATTTGATCCCTCTCGATCCATTCATAATAATTTTTAATTATATCTTCCGTAGTTTTATTATGGGGCACGCCAATAGTTGTTATTAGCCGCACTTTCGTACTGCTAAAAATATGTTGACTTTGTTCATCTATCGCTGACTCAGGCATAATAATTGCATTCAAATCATATATATGCTCTATAACCTGATTAAACAATTGATGGCCACTCCAAATAAAAACATGTCCTGGTTCTTTTTTTAAGGAATTTAACATTTTAATACCATCAATACCAGCACCTATTACTAGAGCTGGCTTATTATGAATAATATCTTGGATATCTGAGACTTGTTTAGGGGCTAAACTATATATTCCTGCTTGGTCTTTTCGAATTGCAGTTTTATACAATATATTTTGATAATGTTTTGCTTCTAAGGCCTTACCAATACCACGCACATTATTATCATCGCCTACATAATGGCCCCCCGCTTAATAACATAATTATTAATATATTGTTTAACATGCTATTCCTCTTTCGGGTGTTAATTAGTACAAATATACTCTTTTAATCTCAAGGAAATTAACTCGCGCAGTTTATTGGATAAAACCCCAGTAACTCTATTAATGTTATAGCTACATTTTGGTCGATACTAGGCAGCTCGTACATTTCATCTCCTTTATGAGGAGTTAGGTATGATAGCGCTAACTTACGGGATGGTACTTTATATATGGGAGAACCACTCTCACTAGTCCACGCATCTTCTAACAAGAACAATGGCGGAGCAGAAGGTAGCTTTGAACCTGTTGCCTCTTCATACGCTGGTGGTAACGGACGAGCCGGTGACAATGATTCCTTAGGGGGAGCTGAGGGGTGGACTTGTGAGGTTAGGGAGCTTTGCGAAACTACTTCTTTATGTAGCAGCAAATCATTAGAATAGATTGATTCTTCATAAGATGGAGGAGGTTCTGGTGGTGCTGAGGGCAGCACTTCTGACAGGGCAGGGGGCTCCTGAAACAAGAGAGAGGTAGCAGTAGGGGAAATTTTATAATTGTTAGCGTGATTTGGTAAAAACCAAGCAATAGCGTCAGAAAAATGTGGTATATGATGATCAAGAAATTCGCCAATTTTGGACAGTTTATTATAGAATCTATCTGAAATATTCTGGTAGGTTGAGTCTCGAACCAGCTCAGCCATTTTATAATATGTTGCCCACTCTTTTAATCCTTCTTTTGGTAGATCAATCAGGTTATGCAACATTTTTTTTAAGTGTTCACTATGGTTTTTGTTCTCTTGTTCTTTAAAAAATTTTACAGCATAACTATACATCTTATTGCCTATTCCTAATATATTTAACATACTCTCCTGATTTTATAATTAATAAAATTTATTCTTCCACAATTTTTTAAATTATTCAAGTTTTTGATAAGATTGAAGTAATAAATTACCGGCTCCTATTGTGATCTTGAGATTGTTGTTTCCTAAAGAGAGTAGTAGCGCCGCTATAGGGTGAGTGTAGTGCATCTTGCTTTAATTCCTCAATCATGCTCTTTTTTTGTCTTAATTCTTTGGTAACTGGTGGCACCTTTGATGAGGGGGCAAGGATACTTTGCTGATCTTGTCGTAATTTTGTACCCATAGTACCTTTGGATTCCTCCTCGGTAAGAATTGCCTTGCCCGTTGCTATCTTAATTAAATTATCTACAACGAATGGGCCGCAGTCTTTATCATTTTGTTGTTGATGGATTTTTAAATCATGTATTGTAGGATTAGGAACGATTTCTTTAATGATTTTCTCTAACTCGGATCTGTTGGTTATAGAATTTCCTGTAGGATCATTATAAATAAATTCTATATTATTATTCTTATCCCTCTTGATTGCTAAACTAATCCAATGTTCGTGCCCTGAGTTAAGAGGAATAAGTACAACATCTTTTTGGCTATCCTGCAAGTCTTGTAAAGAATTTTTAATAGTATCTTTGAGTAATTCTTGCGCTCCAAGAGAAGCATAATCAATAACAGAAACTTTTTGTTCATCAATGGATTTTTTTATTATATTGGTAATCTCATCATCACTATATAAATGTTCTGGATTGGTTAAGTCATGAATACGTTCTGATGCAGTAGTCTGGCTTCTAGCTTGAGGTATAGAATTTTGTATTGCTGGCTTTGCTACCCATTGAGTTAAGGCAGCTTCTAGCCTTTTAGTGTTTTCGTGTTGCATTTCATGCAATTTTTGTGATACATTATAGGTATTTTGTGGTAGCTCTGATTTCGGGCTTAAATATATATCAATAGGATTTTCTTTATAGATCTCCTCTTGATTAGAATTTGTTCGGTCTTTCTCAAATTGGAGGGATATGTCAGAAATGTACTGTTCTAGTTTTGCAGAAGCATTGCCGTCATGTTTTATAATTCCGTCTACTTCCATCATAATGCCGGACTTTAGATTTTTCTTATCTATTGCATTATCATTACCAATATTAAATTTAGTCATAATCAGGTCAGTAATAACCTCAGCATTGTCTAATGGAACATTAATGACAGCGAGGCGAGTATCTTGCTTTAATTTTTTTACTTCTTCATTTAGTGAAGTTGAAATAGACTGAATATTTGTAGCCTTATCTGCTGTAATCTGATTGCTAGCTATAGCCGCCTCTTGATCAGCTGGATTGGCAAAGAATACTTGTTTCACTTGGGAAAAAAGTGGCGGCCAGTTATTTTTTAATTCTTTATTTTCAGTATTATAACCATTTTCAGTATTATAATGATTAAAAGACAAACAAGTTGTAATCTTCGTTTTTTTTAACTCTTCTAACCACTCATATAGCTTAGTAAATAAAGATTGTGAAATATTATTGTTATCAAATTGGATATTAATTATAGGTTGCGCATCTTTTGCTGCTGCTTCCTTTACTATTTCCTGCATTATACTGGGATCTTTTATTGTATAGTTAATATCTCTCCCCTGTTTAATACCAGGTATTTCAAAAGCTGCGTTTAATATATTCAAGTCTTTTTGTGAAGGATAGTTTTCAGACCCATTAAAGCCATTAATATTAAATAATATTATATTACTTTTTAGTTTTTTGGTTGGCATATTTACTCCTCAACAGTTAAACTATAAACCTAAATTAAGATATTTTTTATTATAGCCTAAAAGTTGTATAATGTAAATTTTATATATCTAAACCAATATCAATTGATGGTGCGGAATTAGTTAGTCGTCCTATTGATATAAAATCAATGTTTAAGTTGGCGAGTTGAGATATAGTGTGTAAGGTAACTTGTCCCGAAACTTCAATTAAGCACTTATTATTTATGAGCTTTACCGCATTACTGATCTGCTCTAGGCTCATATTATCAAGCATTATAATATCAACACCACATTCTAAAGCTTTTTGTACTTGTACTAAATCATCACATTCTACTTCTACTTTCGTATAATGGGGAGCAAAAGCTTTTGCTCTTTGGATAGCGTTTTCAATAGAGCCGCAAATCGCTATATGATTATCTTTTATTAAGATGCTACTATCTAGTGCAAAACGGTGATTGCGGCCACCTCCACAAGTAACAGCATATTTCTGCAAGAGCCTAAGGCCTGGTAAGGTTTTACGTGTGTCACAGATTTTAGTTTTATTATTGTGGATTTTATTAACATATTCACTAGTCAAAGTTGCTATGCCGGATAAATGCTGTAAATAATTCAAAATAGTTCTCTCTAAAGCTAATATTTCAAGAGCCTTGCCAGTTCCTTTAATTATTGTTCCGCCGGCAGCGATATTATCCCCATCTTTTGCAAAGAATTGATATTCAAGGTTTGAGTGATTATTAAAAAAGTATAAAACTATAGGGCACCCACACAGGACCATTTTTTCTCGCGCACTAATATAAAATTCGATATTTTGGTTTTGATCAATTAAGTATTTAGAGGTGATATCACCTCCTATACCTAAGTCTTCTGACAAGTTATTATCAAGAAATTTCTTAATTGAATTTAGATGTAGTTGCATAATAATCTCACTGTCTTTAATAATTTACTAATATACATATATACTAATAAGTTATTTATTGATAGATCTGGTGAAATGGTAATAGTAATCATGTTAAACCTAAATAAACTATAATTCGGTTGGCAAGTTAGAGAATAAGACTAGAATCAAATCATTTTACTATATTTCAGGAGAATGAAATTTACGTGCAGTAGAGAGTTGACTTCAAATGTGCTAATGCGAATTCGGTAAAAAGGTTTATATTATAAAAAAATAATTAGGTAAAAATAATGCATTGGAATGATGTTGACGAAATCGCTATTCACTTAGAAGAAAACTATCCCGACGAGGATATATCTGAATTAACCATACAAGATCTTGAGGATTTAGTAAAATCACTAAGTGAATTTGATGATCATGAGGTTGAAACAAATAGAGAAGTATTAAAAGAAATACTTGAAGCTTGGGAAGAACTTAGAAATAATAATTCGCAAGAATAGGTTAGGGGTTGGTCCTATCAATACTTAGATTATTTAAGCTTATAGTGGGATTGTAGCGCTGCTTTAA